GAATGGAATTAATATGAGAAAATGAAAAAAAGGAAACAAAGTCTTTGTAAATTGGGAGGGATGGAGGGGTTGAAGGGAGGGCAGGGGAAGGGGGAAAAATAAGAACCAAGAGAGATAATGTAAAGGTGCAGATCTCCAATGATGAATGTCATTATATTGTATACCTAAAATGTACCAATAAAATAATAGTTTTTAAAAAAGTGGTTGTAGGATTGTTTAGAAAAGCAGCTGTCAATTTTTAAAAAGTCATATAAAACAGAGTTGGCCATAGTTGCACATGCAGTGATCTCAGCTCTTTGGGAGGCTGAGGCAGGAGGGTTGAAAGTTCCAGGCCAACCTGGGCAGCTCAGTGAGACTTTGCCTCGAATCAAAGAGGGCTGTGCGTGTAGCCCAGTGTAGAGGACTTGCTGAGCGCGTTGGTGGCTGGAGGCTGACTGCTACCAAAATGACAATGTGGGGTTTGCTCCCCGGTATGGGGTGGGGTGGTCTGGTCGTGTTTTAGGGAGAAGAGGCCGGTGGTCTGTCCAGCCTGTGACCCGGTCTGGCTTCTGGTAGAAGTCTGAGGGGTGCAGCATCTGGTGCTCAGCAGTCCCAGGCTCCTGGGGACCCCTGCCTGCCGGGCTATGCCCGGCCTGCAGGTCCCTGCTGCTCCACCATCCCCACCACACCCGCAGGTGTGCAAGGCGCTGTGTCCTCAGGTTCCCAGGACAGGCATGGGTCTCCTGGCTGCCGTCCTGCTGCAGGCCGGCTGGAACCCGCACCTGGCCTCGCCCTCCGGCTGTGAGAGGCTTCTCCCCTGGACAGCCCAGCCCCAGCCGCCCCAGCTGGCCCCGCACTGCTCACCTGGCTTTGGGCCGCAGCAGCACCGCTCGGTACAGGTGACTCGCAGGCAGGGGTACTCGCGGGCCTGCGGGGTGCAGGATGGGGTGCAGGGCCCCCACCACGTAGCCCTGGAGGTAATAGTCCTCCACTTTGGCTGCTATGTCCACGATCGAGTTTATCCTGATCACCTCCGGGTTTGACGGGGCTGAGAGAGCAAAAGCGAAGAGAGATCTGCACGTTATTTCCACGCATGTGTGATGACTGCGGGCGAGATCCCTGAGTGTGATCTCACACGCGCACACTAGCACGTGTGTGTCATCTTTTCTTTTGGTGGGGGATTGAAGCCAGGGCCAGGTACATACATGCTAGGCACGCACTGTACCTGAGCTACGTCCCCAACCCTTTTTATTGTATTATTTTGAGAAAAGGTCTTACTAAGTGGCCCAGGATGCCCTCAAACTTGTGATCCTTCTGCCTCAGCCTCCTGGTAGCTGGATTATACACAAAAGCAAGACTGAACTCAGGAACTGGTAGGTATGTGATATTACTTGTCTTAAAGCAGAAAAACAACACTTAAACATGTGTTTTTTCCAAGGAAGGCAGTTTTATTTTTTAGGCTTCTGAGTGCCTATATTTCTTCTACTAAACCATGCCAAAGACACATAAAAGAAATAACAATTTGAAGAGCCAATTGTTTTTTTGACCCCAAACAAGATGAGATGCATAATTTCTTAAAAATAAAATTGATACAAATCTACAAAGTAAAACTGGGAGAAATGTCCTTTGTTAAACAGGAATTATCAACTGCTCCACCTGCACAGCTCTACCTAGCCCTGCAGGACGGCTAAGGGAATGGCAGTCTTGGTGGTGGTGCTGCCTTTGTATATATTATTTTCTACTTTCTGTTTCTATTAATTTGAACACTTTAGACACCTCATCCAAGCCCAACTGTGTAATATTGGTCATTTGCACCTGGGCTGTTTTGCTTAAGCACCACATCCTCAAGGTTCCCCGGTGGTGCAGCATGTGGCAGGATTTCCTTCCTTTTCAGGACTGAGTAATACTCCACGACAGGCATGGGCTGCGTTTTTTCATCCATTCATCCATCCACAGACCCCTGGGCTGCTTCTGCCTCTTAGCCACTGTGAGTAACACTGCTGTGAACATCAGTGAGCGAATACTGCTTTGAGGTCCTGCTCGGAAGTGGGACATAGGGTATTCTGGTTAGAATTCTTTGAGGAACTTCCATTGTGCACAAGTGCTCCAGTTTCTCCACATTCTCCCCAACCCTGGCGATTTTGTTTTTTCGACAGCAGCTGTCTGTGGGGTGCAAGGTGACACCTGACTGCTTCTGGTCTGCATTTCCCTAGCGATTAGTGATACTGACCACTTTTCCACATGGGTGTTGGTTGTTTGTATGTTATTTTTGGAGAAAGGTTGATTCAGGCCCCTCCCACATATCAATGAGGCTGCTTGTCGTTGAGAATAGGAGTTCTTTCTGCATTCAGAACATCGTTTCTCTGTCAGACAGGTGAGTTGGAGTCATCCCCTGCCCTCCCCAGTTTGGCTCCCCTCTGCTGCTGCACAGAAGTTTCTGAGGTGGATGAGGCTCTCTTGGGACCACACCAGTGGGGCATCTCCAAGTCCAATGTCATGAAGCTGTTCCTCTGTTTTATTCTGAGATATAATTTTAGGTCTCAGTTCTAAGTCAAAGATTTTTTAACTTTTGGCTTTAAGCTTGGAGAAGATCAAGGTGTAACTTTCTTTTTTAAGAAACGTTAAACTTTGAATTATTATTTATTTGTATATGTTTGCAGTACAAATTGATATACAGATTTAATCCAATCCCAATCAAAATACCAACAGCATTCTTTCAGAACTGAAGAAGACAATCCTAAAATTCATAGGAATCAGAAGAGACTCAGGATAGCAAAAGCAACCCTGGTTAACAGCACAGCAGAAGGCATCACAATCCTGAATTTGAAGTTATATTACAAAGCTGCAGTGATAATGACAGCATGGTACTGACACAAAAACAGATTATGAGGATCAGTGGAACAACACAGAAGATGCAGAAACAACTGCAGGCACATGCAGCTACCGGATCTTTGACATGTGGACCACAGACGCCCGCTGGAGGACAGGCAGTTTATCACATGGTGCTGGGAAAACTAGCTGCTCACACGCAGAAGGCTAAGCCTAGATCCCTACCTCTCACCGAGTCCTAAACTGAGGTCAAAATGAGTCAAAGACCCAAATGTGAAAACAGAAGCCCTTAATCTGCGGGAAGAGAAAACTCGCGCCTTTCTTTACTCCCCCACATCTAGTCCACCCAACACTGCGACTCCCCTTCGACACCAGGTTCACTCCCAGCAGTGCCAAAGCTCTGCGCTGTGGGCACGGGTGGCGAAGCCAATCTGTGGGTGATGAAAGGGCCTGCAGGAGTCTAAGGAATGTCTTCATTTCATACTTGAGTTTCTTCTGTAATGCAAGAGAGGTGTAAGGAGACTTCTATGTTTGACATTTCCTAAAAGAACCTTTTGCATAGGAAAGGAAATTCTAAGGGAGGGGAAAATGTTCATAGTGTACTTGGTGCAGCCCTCTCTCAGCGGCACATAAAGTAATGATGTGTTTCTCAGTCAGGGCCTCTTAGAATCAATGGAAGATGACAAAGTAGACAGCAAAGAAGCTGCTGAGTCTGCACCAGCTAGGAGAATAAGGATCCAAGAGCCCTTGGTTTGGTTCTAAAGATTAAAATCTGACAAGGATGAATCCCATATTTTTTTCCTTGAGTTCAAAGTGCAGCATGAGAGACTGATTTAATTCACATTCTCTGAGGCGCTCTGCACACTGTCAGCAGGTCCCAGTGACCCTGGGCCGTCTGAAGGAATCGGCCTCTCTCAGGTGCCCGTACTCGGCCTGGGGACAGCACCCCCTCTGTGATTGCGACAGTCGAGCACTGACAAGGACAGTGGGGCCTGCTCAGGACCCCTCTGCCTGACCGCAGGAAGCCGGCTCAGGAATCGGGTTGGATGCTGGCCCAGAGCTGCCTGGGCAGCACCGGGGAACCGGGCAGTGGCTTGGATCCCACAGGGGCCACATTGCAGATGGACAGGAGCAAGCGGGGGTCAAAGGAGACGCTCAGGATGGGGCCTCTGAGGCCCTGACGGTGTCCTCTGGTTGAGGACACGTGTGCTATTTTATTTATTTTCAGAGCTGGGGACTGCACGGAGGAGGCTTCAGTGGGGCACGGACCCAGCGATGGGTAAGTCGGCACACGGGGACAGCCACCAGGCCACAGGCGGCCACGCCAAGGGGGCTCCAACAGCTCGTATAAAAGAACACCGGTGTGGCGCCAAGTGTGGTGATGCCTATGGTCCCAGCACCCGGAGGCTGAGGATGAGGATTGCCACCAATTCAAGACCAGCCTGAACTACACAGCGAGACCTTGTCTCGAAACAAACAAACAAACACAACAACAGAATATCTGTGTGATAAAGAAAAATGGCAAAAAAATAAAGAGATGTTTATTCTTCTTAACTAGAAGGCAGACTGTCAGCAACCTCAAAAATCTACTACTCAAATAACCCATCACCGGAAGGAAGGAAGAAAGTGAATCGCACAGCGCGGTAAAGGTCCCGCTTTCGTCACTGTTCGGGCGTCCTGGGCGTCAGTGCTCAGGTCACTGCGAGTCCGCAGTGCATGGTTTCACGGTTGCCACGGGAGTCAGTGCACGGACTACGCATCTGCATTCTATTAAAAGTAGAAACTAAGAAGAGAAATAAAAGGCTGTTCTTTCAGAAGAAGTAAGCAAGTCCTCCCTTCTGGGGGCCGTGACTCTTGATAAGCGTTCGGCCCCAGCGTGGCGATTGTCGATGGCCACGGCCGTGGTGGGAGCTTTAACAGCCCTTGCCGAGGCCCGGCTGAGGGAGCAACAGCCAGCAGGCACGGGGTGCCTGAACGCTCGCCCGGAGCCTCCACCCTGTGTGCCTCGGTCTCCTCATAGGGAGACTGAGGTGAGAGCGGGAGGGCTTTGGGGTGACTCGGTGAACCTGCATCTGTTCCCAGGAGGAGCCAGGCTGGCGGCTCCTCCTCCCTGTGGAGAGAGGAGCAGCTCGTTCCCTGCTTCTGAGGGTAAAGCACTGGCTGCCACGTCCTCCCGTGCCTGCGCTGTCCAGCGGCAGTGATTTGGGGCAAGTCGAGGCGCCCCGTCTCCAAAACAGGACAAATCCCAGCATTCACCGCACAGATGTGCCTGGGGCCTGACCCAGAGAAAGTGGGCGCCGGTGACATGCGCGTCCCTTGGTGTGTGGCCCTGGAAAAGTTTAAAGTGAAGTTGCACTGAGAGGTAAGTCCCTGTTGGTTTGAAAGGTCTCCATGGACCCAGGCTCGGAGGCACACACTGTCACCCAGCACTCGGGAGGCTGAGGCAGGAGGACTGTGACTTTGAAACCCTGTCTGAAAGAAAAACAAAAACCAAAAACAGAACAAAACAAAAATCTCCAGAAAAAGATGGTGGGTTTGGATCTATTACAAAAGCAAGCCAACCCGAGCACTCTAAGGAAAGGACCTCGGCCCACACTTTCCGTCACAGGCCCCTGACTGAGAGGCCAGGCTGACACCACAAAGACGGGAGCTCCTCACTGGAGTCCTGGGACCCCTCAGAGCCTGTCCTGAGAGTGCAGGGCCCAGCCCTGGCCTGCAGGCAGCAATTCTTAGATCCCCCTGATATGGATTAAATATGCAGTCACCCCAAAGACCCCCGCATGGAGGCAGGGCCCCCAGTGCAGCAGGGTTCAGAGGGGCCTGGACCACCAGGCACCGACCCCATCACCTCTGACTCAACAGGAGGTGGCCCAGGTGAGGAGGGAGGTCCCTGGCGCCTTTCTGAAGGGTCCCACCCCTTCCCTTTCTGTCTCTGTGCCTCCTGCCTGCCGTGAGCCGAGTTGGTTTCCTATGACAGGGCCTTCCGCTGTGATGTTTCTGCCTCACCACGGGCCGAGAAGCTATGGAGTTGGCCGACCATGGACCAAACCTCTGAAACCACGAGCCACAACAAATCTTTCCTCCTCAAAGATATAGAGTATTTGTCACGGTGACAGAAAGCTGACAAATACACCCACAATCTAGATTCTTCTGTAGCAGTTCCTAGTTTATAAAAAATGATAATGAATTCAACTATTTTAACACTGTCCACTCTGAGCA